CCCCCCCCTGCGGTATACATAATGAACACAGCCTAAATGAATAAATCGAAAGTGTTCAGTGTCCAGTGCACAAATATATGCCCAATCCCCACTCGTTTCTCAGTGTCAAGGACTATTCGCAGTTTTGGTAGTGTTTTGATAGGGAATTGCACTTTATATTTGAAGTATTGATTTTAGTTTTGGTTTTAATGTTCTTAGCGGTCATACCCGGCCTGTGTCGCTTTATTTCGAGCATGCCATTACTCTTAGCATAATCTTTTTCTTTTTTTTTTATAAAGGTGGAACTTCTACGAGAAAAGCAAAAAGAGGAAATAGTAAGAATACAGCAGATTGCTATGAAAAATGCGAAAGAACGCCAAGAACAGATGGACAACATGCTGCAGGCCAACTTTCAACAACGAATAAAAGACAGACAGGAAGCCATTAGACAGCAGAAGAAGCTGGAGGAAACTCTGGAGGAATTGAAAGAATCTTTGAAAAACAGACGAGTAGAAATAATAGAGATAGATAGGAGGATAGAAGAACACTCTAAGCCTGGTATGATGGATATTCTAGCCCCCATTGCTACCTTTGCGATAAGCAGGTTGCTCACCAGGTTTGTACCCGCCTCCTGTAGTATTATGTAGACCATACATTGCATAATCCAAGCTAGACCACGATGTATCATGATAACTATCTTAGAAAAAAACTAAGGTAGGTACTTCATGTATGGGACGAACAGCAGTAGCACGTCGCTCTGTGAACTAAGAAGGCTGAACACGAAAGGACAACAATCGACACAATCCCGATATAATCCTTACTACACTCCTTCGCTGTGATATCACAAAATTAAAACATAATTTAATTAAAATCTCTCACATAAACTGATGAATAGCAAGGTGTTTTTTGGTGCTCAGTGATTAATTACAGATGTAAATCATTTCGTCCAGCTGATTTTACTAGGAAAAAAATCCGTGCTCGATCCGGGTGGGATTCTGGGGACTCGGTTCTTAAAAGGTAATGCTTTGTTAGATAGGATATGGTGAGTTGATCGGTTTTTATATTTCAGCACCAACAATACATACATACATAAACTTTATTTTTACACGATAAGTAATTAAAGCATACGTTTATGGGGTCGTGCATGTAAATCAAATACAATAAAAATATAAAGGAAACCAAATAAATATTAACCTAAATCAATTATCTAAAAAAGAATCTTATAATGGAAGAAAAATTTGCAACCTAAGAATATATTCAAATCTAAAATATCTAAAAATGCTTAAAGTAATTTTTTACAATGACAGATATTGTGTTTATAAAAGGTCATGAGAAACCGCGTACAATCATAATAGTATGCATGTTTTTTTCGTTTGTGTTTATGTGTGTTTGGTGGGGATTTAGTATTTAAAAAAGTCGATACCCCCACCCCACCCGTCTCTTAATCGACAGCTAAAGACCTGAAACTCTAACAAATAATGAGTCACTAGCAAAGGCTGCTTGCTGATTGGTTAATTATCTCAGGTCTATAGAAGCGAAATAATTTGCTATTGTAATGCGGCTTTTCTTGGAAGTCGGGGATTCCCCAGAAGAAATATGACACTGAGCGTTTTACATAATACGCGTCTTGGATATCAAGATATTTCTAGGAAAAGATCACAGCAGGCGAAAAGAACTCTCGTACAAACGAATGAAATATCTTCCTATTTCTGGTTATCTAATATCTAATATCACAAGATAAGTTCTAATATCACAAGATAATGGCGAGGTATTGAGCAAGAAACCTCTGTAGCCGATTCTACCGAAAGAATTTTTTATATATTGAGAAAACGAAGAGAATTTTGCAGWCGAATTTCGTTTCGTGTGTTTGGTTTCAAGACGGAGCTTGTATTTCCAGGAAATCTTAGAACCCATTCAAGAATTAAGATATCTTACCGAACATCGTTTTGCATTTTATTCGTAGTGTAGGTTATAAAAGGAAAGGAAAGGAAAGGAAATTTTAGGGCAGAAACTAAGAGCGCTTCAGGGGTTTCGAATGGTGTCCTAAGCGTTTAGTTGTTTTTGGCGTGAACATTCATGTAAGAGATTTTTAACGCTGCTAGGAAAATAAATGGAGCTTGGAATGTTGTAGATTATGGAAATATCAGTCATTTAGGACGAGTTACAGAACTCACAACCAATTAGAGGCAGAAAATTTTATCTGAATTTGAGAGGAATCCTTAAAAACATTTTCTATGTATACATTAAAAAGCCGGTAATGCGCATGGAAATGCATAGAAATTTTTTTTYCAAAATTAATTGATTTAAATCACAGTATGTAAAATGTATTGATAATAGCTTATTATTTAAAGCCACGTTACTCGTCACTAATACTTGTGCATTCAGTMTGACAAGAAACTGAAAGTCTTATTTTTAGTTTCATTAAGAATCGAAAATAAAACTATTACCACTCTGATGTAATTTTCAAAATTGGAAGATGATTTTCATGAAAAGAGGACTGAAAAACGGAGAAAAACCCTCGAAGCACAGGAAAGAACAAACAAACAAACAAATAACTCACATACAGCACCAAGCCCGGCAGCACTAGAACCCATCCGCCAGGTCGCATTGGTAAGAGGCGAAGCATTAACAGCGCACGCCTAGTCACTAGCTCCTACGCAGCCGCTATTAGTGTCGTACTGCAACGCTCACGTGACTCACTAATAGTGGCTTCGTAGGAGACTAATGCCACTCGTGCTTCCTAAGATAACACAGTACTTTTACTATCAGTAGTGTCACAGGAATAAYATCTGGTATTGACAGCAATCATGGCCACAAACCAACAGCAAAGTGCTATTCCTCTGGTGTTACCCAACAACTGTACCTGGGATGCACAGACTGGAACATATGACAAGAAGAAAGGTGTTGGTCGAGAAACGTTGAATGCCATACCCAAAGCACTAGACCAATTGAGGGAGATCAAGGGACCTGTATGTGTTGTGTCCATAGCTGGTCCTTGTAGGAAAGGAAAGTCTTACATATTGGGCAAGGTGTTTGAMCAAGAAGAGGTATTCAAGTTCTTGTGATAACTGAGCAAAACTATTTTCTACATTTCATCGTTTTCGTCTTTTCTTAA